CCAGGATCCCCAGGGATTTCCCCTGCCCAATTCTATGACAGGACATTCCTGAAAGCTCATATTGAATCTTAGTACAAGTTTGTTTGTAAGAAGGAGTTTAAAAAAACTACTACAAAACAGAGAAGTTGCTCAGGTTATAGCTGAGACTTTTTTCAATTCTTAAAAAAAAAACAAAAAACCAGCCTGATCCCCTTAAGATTGGAAACCAAAAGATCAAGAGAACCACAATAAATTTTCTAGAACTAAGACTGCTATTACAAATGCATAATAAACTTTTTACCTTTAAAAAGAGCCTCAAAGTTTTTCGATAGCTAAAACACAAATTGTAGCTATCACTCAATTTTTTAAAAAAATTCAACATCAAGAATAAAATCTTATTAACTTTAACCAATATATCCATTTAACTACTTATATTTCATCTTCAAGAATAAGCAAATATCTTTTCTGTTCTGCAAAACCCTTATCAAGCTGTATCAGAGTGAAGAACATAAACTCAGTATTTGAAGTTTTAAAAAATGTAGTGTCAAATATTTCCGAAATAAAGAACACACTACCTTCAGTTTCATTTTGCAAAACTACTTTAGATCCTAGAATATAACAGCAGTTTTTATATTAATAAATCCTTGTTTCCTCCTTTATGAAACACCTCCAATTATTTTCTATTAGCTAAACGTGTTTCTGTATATAACATTCAAAGCTCAAGAATTAAAATGGACAGACCAAAAGCATGGTAATTAGCATTCTGCCTTTGACAAAGGATGACTTTGGATAGTCTATAGATAAATGCAGCATTCCATAGCATACTTAAGTCAACATTTCCTGAAGTGGTGTCTAAAGAGTCTTATGAACCCTCCAGGAACCTGGGAGAGCCTCTATAATACTTCCCTATCATATTCCTAAGCTACCCTCCCCCTCAAACACTGGTCATGAAGAAAACTATAGTTGAAATAAAACTAACATGAATTTTAGATGTTAAAATAATGCTTGGAAAAGGGAACAGAGGAACCAGCACCAGCACCACAGTCCTAGTAGAATATTTTTTCCCCAGAAAACCAATTGATGTCTATTTTATCCTTCTAAGCAAAAACATCCACCATATAAAAAGTCAGAGCTTTTACATGGATAGTAAACTGACACTGAAATTATCTTAAGAACCAGTGAGTCTCAATGTAGTAGGGGCAAGTTGATTTAAGACCTTGTGGCATTTCTTATGTTCTAATGCAATATAACTCAATAAAATTAAGATATCTTTAAGGAAAAAAAAAACTAGCCATTTTCATTACACACCTTGAATTATGGAAGCCAGAAACATAACTAATGAAAGGACTTTCTCCTCTATAAATCAGATATTTTAAAACTAATCCCCCCAAAATCTTTTCATGGGGAAATTTAAAATCCTTTTAAAAGTATTCAAGTTTTCAAAGGAAAAATGTATCCATGGTTTAAAATAAAGTTAGTATATTAATATTATCTAAGTTTTTTGCTTATTAACTCAATAATTTATTCAATTTTAAAACCATCGGCTGAATTTAAGAAGCTCAATAAAGGTTTTTTTGAGAGTCCTACTAATGAGAAAGTGTTTTTTACTCAAAAAAACCAAAAACCAAAAAACCACCCAAATTGGTTTGTTCTTACTGCAGAACAAGGATCCCACACTGAATTTTATTTGTTATGAAGGCTTTGCTACTTAACTGAAATTCTGATTCATGAGTACCATCAGACAGTTTACAAGTATCAAAAACAAAGACAGGAACTCTAACCATTGGCATATAACCTACAATTTCTAAATCAAGATTACCACTCCACTTCAAATAAAAAGCAGTTACTGGATTTGAAAGAATGAAAAATGTCAAAGATAATCTATTTGAACAAATAGTTTGATATTAACTAAAGTTTAGTACTCATCAGCAGGTTAAATGACAGACTAAAAAGGGGGCTCTGGAGAATTAGTCAAAGAAATTTTTTTAAATGAGTCACATGACTAAATTACATTTTACTAAATCAAAAGATTTTTTGCAAGGTTACTAACAAATTAATAAACCTGGAGTAAATTTAGTGGGAGCAGCACCCCAAGACTGAACATTTATAGTGTTCAATACAGAATTATGAATTGTTCCCTACAACTTGTTTTTCTTTACTTATAAAAGTGTCAAGCTGAGGGAAACACATGACTATTATTTGAGTGGGTCATAGGAAAAGTAACTCTTGTATGCTTGTCACACAAAAAGGAAATGATGAAAATAAATTCCAATTCACCAATCAGTAAATTACTAAGAATTTCTAGAATTTGCACAAGACCCTCAACTGGACTTGCAGCCTCACATCCTTTCATGTCATACATAATAACCTGCTCCCCAAATGACAGTTTTTACAATGATCAGGAAAGAAATGGGTAAACTTAATTTGCAAATTGGCATTTCCCTCTTTCATCTATTCAATATTTTGACTAAGTAAAAAGACAGAGAGCTACCACTTAAAAAAAAAAACAAAAAACCCATGTTTCTAAGACGGTAACTGCATTCAAGATTAGTTCCCTTTATCATTCGAGATGTGACAAGCAATGCATAAAAAATTAAAAACTAATCTTCTCAACTATACAACATGCAAAATGTCTCCTAACAATTCTCTTCCTCTTAAAAAAAAAATAGCTGCAAATATGGTACAGGGAACAAGCCCCTGCACTGGTAGCATTTAGTTATAAAGAGAACAGTTAAGCAGCTTTGTGACCAAGGGGCACACTCCCACCTCACAACCTCCCAAAATAACTGTACCATTTCACTAAAGCAGGAATCCAATCCCGAGGAGCCTCAGCCCTTTAGACAATGGTGGTTACCACACTGAGAGCTAAACAGTTGGGTCCAATTGACACATTTCAGTAGGCCTTGGACAAGACACACACAACACACACATTCCCAAGACATTTGGCTCCAAGGTAGGAGTATTATTAAGTCCACGCCAGGAGATCAGGGCAGGCCAGAGAATAGGAGGTGAAGGGAGCTGGAGGGGGTGGGGGTTTGCAAAGGGGCAGGAAACAAGGGGTATTGGAAGAAACAGCGCAGGGTTAATTGCACCAGGAGGGAGGGAGGGGGCTGGAAATGGCCGATGGTCTGTTTGTTTATTTATTTTAAAGGTCTAGATTTAACGGGTCCCTTCCCCACCCCCACTCTCAGACACCCCCCCCCCCCCAGGGATTCTGTAACCAAAACCAAACTGCGCAGCAAACACCGTGGGGCTGGAAGAACCACGACTCCCCCCACCCCACCCCACCCCCCACCCCGTGACTACTGAGCGAAGCGGGGCTGGAGGGGTAAAAACAAGTTCCCGGGCCAACACCTCCAGTCGCTTGGATCCCCCGATCCCAAAGAACACGGGAGGCTCACTAACCCGGTTAAGAAAAGGGGGGAGGGAGAACAAATTCCTCACCCAAGACCGGCAATTCCATTCCCCGTTCCTTCTTCCCCAGTCTCCATCGGAAGGGGAAGAGCCCAAACCCTGGGACGAGTGAGGAGGGAGAACACGGCGAGCCCACCCCCCCCACCCCCGGACTCCCTCCGGGGTCCAGGGACGGGGGAAGAGGGGGGGTGTGCCGAGCCCCCGAAACCAAACAAAGCGCGGCCTGAGCGCGAGCCCAGGCGAGTGGGGAAGCCGGGGCTTTTCCTGGCGACAGGGGCCCAGGCCGGGCACTGCGGCAGCGGGGAGACCCGCCTCGGCGGGGCTCCTTCTCCGATAACCCCCTGACTCCCCCCACCCCCCGAGACCCCGAGACGGACAGCCGCGGCGCCCTCCCCCCTCCGCCGCCTCGGCCCGGGCCGGGGGCAGGAGAGCGGGGGAGTGGGTCGAGGAGGCCGCAGCCTTACCCCGCTCCCCGGCGTTGTTCCTCTCCTGAGGCGGCGGAGGCGGCGGCGGCGGCGGTGGAGGCTGCTGCTGCTGCTGGGGCTGGGGCTGCTGCGGCGGCGGCGGCGGAGGTGGCGGCTGGGGCTGGGGCTGCTGCTGCTGCAGTTGGGGCTGGGGCTGCTGCTGCTGCTGGGGAGGCGGCGGCGGCGGCGGCTGCTGCTGCTGCTGCTGCTGCTGCTGTTGTTGTTGCACCGGGCGCGGCCTCGACACTCGCCTAGGTCTCCGGTTGGCGGCTCGGACGGAGTTCATTTGCCGGGCTGAGGTGGCGGCGTTGGCGGAGAGACACACACACACACCCCACACCCGGGGATTTGGAGGAGAAGGGGGGAGGGAGAGGGGAGAAAAGGAGAGGGGGGCGAAGGAGAGGCACCGAGACACAGGGGCGGGGGGGAGGGGGCCCCCGAGGAGACCCAGAGGCCCCGGGGACGAGAGCAGCACAGGAGGCCGGGGCGGCGGGCCGACGCACCGCCGGGAGAGAGAGGAGGCCGAGAGGCGAGGGAGGGGCGAGGGCGGCGAGCAGCCGAGGCCGAGGCCGAGGGAGAGAGAGAGAAAGGACGGCCGCCCGCCCGCTCGGGGATCCCCAAGAGATTCGCGACCCCGATCCCGGTCCCGCCGTCTCCCGAGCACGGTCTCCGGCGGCGGCGGCGGCGGCTGGGGGGAGTGGGCGGGAGGGTGAGGAGGGGAGAAGGAGGAGAAGAGAGCGAACGAGCGGGAGGGAGGGCGCAGGGAGGGAGGGAACAGGGGGCGCCGGGCTCCTTTTTTTTTCCTTCCTCTGCTACCCCCCCACACCCCCTCAAAGAGATTTCTGTGAGGAATCTTTCTCTCCTCTCCTCGGCCTCCTCTCTCTCCTCCCCCCCTCTCTCTCCTCACCGAAGGGGAAACGAGGGTGAAGGGAGGAGACCGGGGGGGAAAAAAAAAGAAAAAAAAAGAGGCGTAGTCGTTCCTCCTCCTTAAAGGAGCCTTTCCTCGGGGTCCTCCTCCGCCTCCGCCTCCGCCGCCGCCGCCGCCGCCTCCTCCTCCGCCTCCTGCTCAACCCCGTCGCTGCCGCCGCCGCCGCTGCTGCTGCTGCTGCTGCTGCTGTGGCTGCTGCTGCCGCCGCCGCCGATGATGATGATGATGGTGATGATGCTGCTGCTGCTGCTGCCGACGCTGCTGCTGCTCCGTGGCAGGAGGAGCCATTGACATCGCCGTAGACACCACACGCTCAGTCAGTCACTCACCACAGCGGGGCGGGGGAGGGCCCGGCAGCCTCCAACGCCGGAGCTGAGCAATCGAGGGACGGGGCAGGGGAGGAGAGGGGAGGTGCTTCCAGCTGGACGGCCAATGGGAGGCGCCGGAACAGAGGCATCCCGGCGCTGGGGCCAATAAGAGCTCGTCTCTATCAAGGAGCCGGCCCTCACTCTGCTCCCCTAGTCCCCGCCTTGATCCTCAGGCCCAGGGGAAGGGAGGGAGCCTAGGGTAAAGGGGAGGGTGTCGAGGTATATATAACGTGTGGAGGGTGGGGGGCGCTCCAGTGCGGAGTCGGGGTTCGAGGGAAGAAGGAGTGCGAGGAGGGGAGGAAAGGGCGGGGGCTGCTGATGTAATAGGAAGCAGTGATTAATCCATTCATTTACAGTATCAGCCTCCCCCATTTTTTTTTTCCTTCCAGAAATGAAGAGGTGGCGCGGGAGCGGACCTTTGGGCAACTGGAGTTGGATGTCGGTTCGGAGAGCGATCTGTAGGGTGCGCAAGAGCCTGCGTGCCCTTTAGCAAGCAAACAGAGAACTGGGCAGCCTCTTCAATGGGAGGAGGGTGGTGGTCACTTTCCAATCATCGCCTTGCATTCCCCCCCCCCAAAAAAAGAACTCACATCAATCGATAAATGACTGCCTAGGTAAGAAATGCTGAGTGACGTACTAGGAGAGACAGTCTATGGATGTGTACAAACCTACCCAAAGGAAGAAGAGTAGGTAAAATGTGGAGACGATGTGCCTTGATCTTTGCAAGTATTTATGTTTAAGTAGCTTTAGGCCCCCATTCCCCTCACAATGTTTCTTGAGAAAAATATATTTGTATTCTCTACTTGAACTTACTTACTGAAATAGGAAATATATTTTTCCTTTCTCCTCCCTCATATCCTGTTTTTCCCTTTCCTTTTTTGTTATGGTCGTTATACGTTGGATGTCTTAGGCTCATTTTTTATCTAAGTCTCAGATTTTCAGACTTTTGTGTATTTTCCTCATCTCTGTGACTTTTATAAATCACTGCTTTGCCTTGCTGGTTAGGCCAGAGGTGGCTTAGGCCGGGCAAAGAGCAGAGTTTTTTTTTTTAAAGTATTGTTTTTAGCTGTCCATTTGTGAAATGCAATTTAAGTCCCTCACACATTTTAGTCTGAAAATGGAGAGATGAGAAGAGAAACTTTTCCGACTCATGCCTACAAAAAAAAAGTTGAACAAGAGAAACTTAAGTACAAAACGAAACAGTTACATTTGTTAGTCACATGGAAGTCAATAACCAGTGAAATAATAGCTAGAGGAGATAGGGAGGAGTAAGAGCTGATCCAATAGAGTTTAAGGAAAAAAGAAAATTAAAATAAAATCACATATTATTCCATAGTCTCTTCAAATTACTAATCAGTCCCTGTGATTTTTTTTTAATTTCACCTTTTTATAAGTTCAGCCAACAATTATTGAGTGCCCCAGAAGGGATTATATGAAAGAAATAGGAGACAGGGGTCTAGTTTATCTTTCATTGCTATCAGGCAGTCAGTCAACAGTCATTTATTGATACTTTAGTATATGCCAGGCACTATGTGATCAAATCTTCAAGTCTCCTTTATTTTCAAAACCACCCCCATTTTAGAATCATAGACAGAGCTAGAAGGCTTCATTTCATTTTACAGATGAGAAAATTGATATCAAAGAAACCTTGAAGACAGAGTCTGTCTTTTGCCTCTTTGTATCCAGAGTGCTTGCCCAGTGAGCTGGCAGGTACTAGTCCTTTAATAAATGTTTGTTGATAGTGGCCAACCCAGAAAGAGGACCCAGGTCTCTTGAATCCCTGTTTACTGCCCTTTTGATTTGTGGATGCTATGGGGTTTTGATTTCTTCTGTCATTAAGGGGAAAAAAACATCCTGAAGGCCTTAGAATAATAGACTGGTGGTCACTCATTAATAACAGCAAGAATTTGGTACTATGTAAAAAGTATCATGTTCTTGGCTATATGAGAAGATACAATGAAACAGTCTAATAGGATCAACGAGAGAGATATACAAAGATCTACAAGATAAGAAAGCATGTGAAAAATGTCTTTAGAGAAAAAATGAAATCAAAAGTTTTTGGAGTCCAGAGGTATGAGAGAGAACTTCTAATATGGTTCATTCACATGAGAAGTTAACTCTGGCTATGGAAGTTTCATTATGACTCTGGTTATGGAATTTTCCTCATGACTTATAATAAATTAACTCATATTTACGTAATACTTCAGGTTGTATAATGTTCTTTTCCTGTAAGACCAAAGTCTTATAAGCCACCGGAGCTTAAAACTGCACTGAGACTTTTGGGACACCAGGTGTTTAGGAGAAAAGGGCCCCCAAAACCATGTTTGTACCTGTTTAGCATAATTTCAAAAGACAGAATTCCCCTGGAGTTTGTTTTGTCTTTAAGAGCAAGTTTGTGCTTGTTTTACTCAAGTACTTACTGGTGCTTAATGTGTTAGAGTGCATTAAATTATTTGTTTCTAGAATCAGTCACAATAAGAAGGTACAAAATAAACTCTTTAATCAAGGTAGGAGCCAAGCAACTGTGATCTTTATACTCTTCCTATTTCATAAATCTTCCTCTAAAAGTTCACTCTCCAAACTTAGTCCCAAACTTTCACAATTCAGATAGAATATTGCATAAATATAATGTATGAATATAATATTTCATAGCTGCTTATCATGTTAAATTTCATTTAGGGAGTTAGTTTGGTCTAAGCAATTTTCCTTAAGGAATAACTAGCTCTGTTTAAAATGTCCTGGTTGGAGTATAAAAGACATCTCATTAAATGACAAAAATTCACCCTTTGGATATCATAGTCAACTTAAATTCTATAAATTAGATGGTAAAACTAAATTTGGAAATAACTTTTATTTAATGTATATGTGTAGAAATCGGTCAGCATAGAATTCAAAGATGCCCATACTAGATATAATTTACTAGATAACAATACCTTACTGCAGCTGTGATCTCATCAATGTGGGTTGTCTCTCCACAAATACAGATTGCAATCCATTTAGATTTTCTTAGTCCATGTAATTCTTGTCCATGTTTCCCCATTAATCTTCCGAAGAAGATCTTCCCAATATGGTAGAGGCCTTCCTCTGGGTCCTTTTACATTTCATGAGTACTGACTGGTATGTCATTGGAGATACCTCCTTTTCTGAACATTCATTTTCTAGGGTCTAGCCATTACTTGACTTCTGATATGTTGGTAGTCGCTGGCAATCACAGAACTTAAACATTGAAAAAGACGTCAGCAGCATCTGGTCCAATGCATATACAAAAAGGAATCTCCTTCATAGACCTCTATAGAGTTTGGAGCTCTGCAATACTGCTGCCCAGAAGACATTATCCATGTCACTGAGAAAAATGTTAGCTAGCATACAGCCCACTGTAGATCCTTGAGTCACTTGACTAAAGAACTTATTTCACTTTGACTTCCTAATGTCTATTCTTTTATTCTACTATTCAATCAATTCTGAATCCATGTAATTGTAGCATAGTCTAGCCCACAATACTCATTCTTTTTCTGTGTTTTTGTTCAGTGGCATCTGACTCTTTTTTTTATTTTTCTTTTTTCTTTTTTTTTTTGTGAGGCAGTTGGGGTGAAGTGATTTGCCGAAGGTCACACAGCTAGTACGTGTCAAGTGTTTGGTCTGAGGCTGGATTTTGAACTCAGGACCTCCTGACTTCAGGGCCAGTGCTCTATCCGCTGCGCCACCTAGCTGCCCCTCGTATCTGACTCTTCATGACTCCATGCACCATAGTACACTAGGCCCTTCTAACTCCTGAAGTCTGTTCAAACTTCCAGTGTCATATCTTTTGACATTTTAATACTGTCCGTGCAATTTTCTAGGCAAGGATACTGGAGTGGTTCGCCATTTCCTTCTCCATCTTTTTTCCATGAGGACAGCATAATTTATTTTATCAAATATTTTGCTAAAAATCCTTCTAAAGGGAATGCTCCTTCACAATGTGCTGGCAAATAATAATAAACTACCATTTATTTATATGGTGCTTACTATGTACCTGGCATCATGCTAAGTGTTTTACACTTATTACCTCATTTGATCCTCACAACAACCCAGTGAGATAGGTACTATTATTACCCCCATTTACAGATGAGGAAACTGAGGCAAACAGATTAATTGATTTGCCCAAGGTCCCAGAGCTAGTAAGAATCTGAGATCAGATTTGAATTCAGGTCTTCCTGATTTCAGGCCCAGGTGTAGCCACTGGGCCACTTAGCTGAATCACATCTGGTCTACATCTTGTGCTTGCCTATAAAACTTAGTATAGCACACTGGACAAATGATCACACAATCTTTGCTTGAAGACCTTTATTGAAGGGGAGCCTACTACTTCCTGAGGCAGCCCATTTCAATACAGGTTAGTTCTAGTAGTCAAGAATTTGTCCTAACATCAAACCTAAATTTGGCTCTTTGCTCTTGGTTCTGCCCTCTAAAATCAAACAAGGCTAAATGTGAACTAATACAAAGTGAAATGAGCAGAACCAGGAGAACGTTGTACGCAGTAATGGCAATATTGTCAACTGTGAATGACCTAGCTATTCTCAGCAACACAGTGATCCAAGACAATCCTAAAGAACTCATAATAAAAAATTTTATCTGCCTTCCGAGAAAGAACTGATGTCTGAATACTGACTGAAGCATACTATTTCTTTCTCTATCTCTCTGTCTCTGTCTCTGATTCTGTCTCTGTCTCTGTCTCTCTCTCAGTCGTCTTCTTACACAAAATGACCAATATGGAAATGTTTTATATGATTACACATGTATAACCTATGTCAGATTGCTTACCATCTCAAGGAGGGGGGAGGAGAGGGAAGGAGGAATGGAATTTGAAACTTCAAACTTAAAAAAAGTCAATGAATGCTAAAAATTGTTTTTACATGTAATTGGGGGAAAATATTATTTAAAATAATAAGATAAAAAAACTTTAATCTTTCTTCCAGGTGAAAGTTTTTCAGATACTTGGAAGATAGCCATTATGTCATCTTTGACTTTTCTCTTCTTCAGACATATATCACAATCCTTTCAATTGATTTGTAAGTGATATGGACTCTAGACCATTCATCATCTTGGTTGCTGTCCTTTGGATGTTGTCCAGTTTATCAATGTCCCTTCTAAAACGTGATACCTGGAGCAAAACTTAATACCCCAGATGTCACCTGATCAGGGCAGAGTACAGTGGGACTATTATCTTCTTATTCTGGGAAGGTATGCCTCTTTTACAACCCAAAATCACATTACCTTTTTTGTATGTCATTTCACACTCCTGACTCAAACAACTTATAGTCTTCTAAAGCAGAGGTGTCAAACAGGAACCCCATGGACTCATGTGGCCCACAATACTCTCAAGTGCAACCATATCATATTAAAATGTAATTGGGAAATACTTTTAAAAATATACAATAGAACATAGATAATGCTAATATGTGGTTTTCTAAGTCAATATGCAGCCCACCAGGATCCTTATGTTCAGTTTAATGGCCCCTATTTCTATTTGGGTTTGAGATTACTGCTCCAAAGCCTCCAGATGTTTTTCATATGAACTATACTCTCATTATAATTTCCCCATATTGTACCTGTAAAGTTAATTTCATGGATCCAAATGTAATACTACATTAATCCTTATTAAATTTCATCATATTAGGCCCAGACCGATTTCTTAGTCTATCAAGATCTTTCTGTAGCCTGATTGTCTTTCAGTATATTAGCTATCCCTCCTAGCTTTGTATCATCTTCAAATATGATAAAAATCATAATATTCACCTTTATCCAAATCATAGATCTAAAATGTTGACTAATACAAACCCCTGATACACTCATTTCTTCCAAGTTACAGTATGGT